TTTTTTTTTAACATTGTACAGCATAGATGATAAAATAAGCAACTTTATAACAGGATATTTAAAATGTCTTTGTGCATTTATAGTGTCTTAATCCCTCAACTGGATGCACCTTCGTCTTTATTTGCCAGGTCAAATATGTTAATATGCACACCCAGCCACTGCTTAAAATCAAAGTCCAGCTTTCCTTACCTGATTTTTTTATTTTAATATCCAAGGTATTCTCAATTTTTTAGCTGTCACATATTGTTAAATTAGTATTATGATCAGGTTTAATTAGACTGTTTTTGTCTATTGAGCTGTGCATCGTCTTTCTCTTGTAAAGGCTTGGATTAGATAACTAGAAGCCATCATTTCAGTAACTTATCAACGGACTACATAGTAATACTTACCAAAAACCATTTGTTGTTAATGAGCAGCATATAAATATTTTCTTAAAGGAGCAATATGTAAAAACGACAGCTCGCAATTTCAATCAGAACAACACATAAAACATATAGGACCGTTCATTTATACGGATCCTGGATGACCAATGAGATTGATTTCAGTTCATTTTATGGTAAATGTCTTCCATATTGCTCCTTTCAATCAGAGATTACAGCATCAGGTAGCATATTCTCAGTCATTTTCTCTCAATGATGAGTCTAGAATGCAAAGCATTTTTAACCCACTTCCATAGAGAAAACGACAAAGAATAGTATATCTCCAACAAATAGGCTTAAAAGTGGTTTCTCTCGGAAAAAAAATGTGAAAGCATTCCTCTCAAAGCTGAGGGGCATTTTTTATGCAGTCCAGTGAGACAAGGATTGTTCAGACTCATACTTTGGAGAAACTCATTGTGCAGCACAGGGGAGTCAGCAGCTGTGGCCAAAATTCAGCTGCACAACTGCACCTCAAAAACAAAGGACATACCTTTGGCGACCCAAAGGTTCAGAGTTTGGACAGAGAGAACAGATAGTTGGAAGGAGGGGTGAAGGAAGTCATCTTTGTTAAAAGAAAAAAAGCCATCAGTGAGCATTGCAATTTCAGCTTTCCAAGCATCCACAATTTGGTCCTGGAAAACATTCTGAAGTGGTTGCATACACCTTACACATGTTATAATTAAAATGACCGAACATAACGGCCATATAAAACAACAAAACTCCAAAACCCCAGGAGAACAATGGATGATTTCTTGAACTGTATCTCACCTGGAATGTGCTTAGAAGATAAGGTCTGTTTGAGTAAAATCATAATGTTTTCCATATTGCTCTTTTTGCTTTCCTTTTTTTGATTTTATTCTTTACTGTTTGCTTCATTTGCAAATACTTTATTCACTCTCAGTTTTGTTGGACCCTGAGGAGAAAAGCTGCAGTGTTGCCGCAGCTAATGGGGATCCATATCAATAACCTAAACTAAACCCTTTGGTATGAGCCCTCCAACCACACACAGTCACAGGACAACAACAGTGATGCGAGCCGACGCACACACAAGGGCAGAAAACTGAAATGAAGCACAAAGAGGCGCACACAGGAAGCTCTGCAGCAACTAAGAAAAGCTTAAGATTTTTTTTTCTTCACATGTGACAGAAGACCAGTCTGAATATGCAGGAACTGTGAATTGGTAAGTGTCTCTTAAAAGTTTTACTCCTGGTTAAAAACATGAAGATATTTAATTAATTATATGTTTCAGTGTTTCCTTTTTGCACACGGGATCCTCTTCAGACAATCAAGATCATCAAATTGCAGTTTACGATAAGCAGAAGCTCTTTAACCAGGAATAAATCTACTGAAGTCATCAGGAAACCGATTTACGTTCATGTCAGACGACACGCCTGCTGTCTCTGCAGTATAAACATGTATGGTTCTTCCTAATGTGTTCTACTCCTTGGAAGGGCTAATAGTCAATACAACAGCCTTTCCTTTTAAGCACTCAGAGCCTCAGTGGACTTCTGACCACTTGCCTTCAAACTACATGAGCATCTTATGATCACACGCCCTAGTTTGAGCCGGACGGAGAACCGTTGTTTTTTTTTTACACATCAGAATATTTTTTTTATGAAGAGGGACATCAAGAGAACAAGGATTATTTTTGGTGAGTTTAGATACACATTTATTTGCATATTTGAATTCCTGCATTGGATCATCTTTAGGTTGTCTTAAAATGTAGAGAATATCTGACTGTTGCAAGGATGATAACCGTTTCTTTCTCATATGTCTATTGGTTTCCTCTGTTAATTTGAAACACAACAAAAATCCTTATTGGGCAATATATAAGACTTATTAGGAGGAGCTCATCTCACATTTCTGAGCACAAAGAATCAATAGATCCTCTAATATTACAGGAAAACATGTGGAACGTGCTCCTGTGCACACTCCAACCACAATGAAATGTTAATGGGACAAGGCTATTCCTAGTTTTATTTGTGGTTTAGTTGAATCATTCTGTTTTCCTCTATTTATGTGTTCTGTTATGTTCTGTGTTAGTGTATAATTGTCATATGATGTGGAGTCTAAATGCGTGATTTCCCATTTCTCTCAAAAAGGAGAACCAAGAGCCACGAATAATGTCTGTAGGTTCTTCCGGCTTCTTAACAAGTCTGATTTTTGTGAAAAACTGAGTTTTGGGAGATTATTTTTTACAATACTGTGTTTTTTTTTAAACAACTTTCATAAATTCTAATGTGAAAGGATTAGATTTGACTCCAAAGAAGAAAATATTTGATATATCAATGGATTCGTGTAATTGCTGCCATGGAAATCTTCTAAATAAACAGCTTTGTTGGTCACCAGGAAGGAAACATCACATGTCTGAGAATATGCCTGTGCCTTTAAGGCCAGGAGAGGCGGAACTTTGTGGTATAAACGATCACAAAACATTTAACACACTGTCCAGCATTGTTTGCTGCAACCTTCTTTAACATGTAGCTGTGCTAATAGAAGAATGTGATCAAATTGTATTGATATTTTGAATTTTATTCTTCTTGGTCATGATCAGTACATCTATAATATAGTGGCATGCCTGGTTAAGATACACAAAATAGAAAAAGTCATTTTAAATTGCTGTGGTACAATATTGCAATTAAAATATATATTTTCCTAATTTACAACCTTTAATTTTTGTACACCCAACCCTTACCCTTAAGTCTTCAGAGCTTCAGTATATTTGTAAATAATATTTGGTCAATAATGCAGCTCTAGCGTGCCTAATGAATACTTTGCATTGTAAGATTATCAAATATTAGTTCATCTTTAAATCAGTTTCCCATATCTTTCCGCTGTCATTTGATATTAAAATATGGAATTATGAAGAGACCCACACTTTTAACAACTCTTCAAAATGGGAAAGGAAAAAACAACATCCCATCAAAACAAGGCAAATGTTTGTTTATCTTCATAAATTAGGAAACAGTTCCAGGAAAACATCTTCTGTTCCTGACACACCCTTATTTACAATTCCTGCAACAATAAACAAAATTAAGAAAAAATATGGCCCTGAAAAAATTTTAAAAGTAAAAGTAATCTAAATGTATTTTGATTATAAATGTGGACGCTAAAGCAGACAAATGTAAGATGTTGTCTGCTAAGCGTGGGCACACACTGTGTGAGTTTTTGCCCCTTTTTGGGCCGATTCTCAAGTCGTGCGAAAATTATTGTATGGTATACATGGGTTAACGAGGGGCAATTAGCCTCCCGATCAGGAATCTTAAGGTCAGGAGAAAATCCAACATGTTTAATTTTCAGTCGCCTCGTGAGGTTATTATCGAATCCTGCTGCTGAAGGAGAGCTACGAGCGTCTACAATCCGATTTACCACAACTTGGCGCACTGCACATGCACAAACAAGGGTTCACCACTGCCTTCATTTACTTAGACGACTTTAACCCTGTAATGCCAAATGTGTCATATTTGATACATACGGTTTCTGAAATGTTTTGCGTCTGACACCTTTTGCATAATTTAATGGTAAAAACTTTGCTCAAAATCCTAATGTACACAATCAGATATACCTGATAACAGAGGGCAGAAGACTACACAAAAAATAATCTTGACTTATTGCATAGTAATAAATTATTAATATCAAAAATGTATTTCTGTTTTTCCTTTTTACATATTTTGTTAAAAGGCCAAATAAGGACTTCAAACCAAAAAAAAGTAATTTTCTGTTTTGTTTTATTCTTGGATCGGGCTTTAAAGGGTTAATTATTTGGTGTTTCCAAAACTATTTAGTCACTCTTTTACAGGGCAACCTGTCATTATTTTAGGCAGAGATCTGATCCACATGTAGAACACACTTCAGGATCCAGAAGAAATTTTAAAGAATGTTTACGTTAAAAGCAATTAGAAGAACTGGAGACGGAGAGAGGAAAGAAACCTTCTGGGGCCTGGGACACGTCACCTCCCTGGGAAACACAGCAAAGGTTATTTCTCTTGTAGATGAGGGAGTGAAAAGATAATAGATTTTATCTCCTACAAGTAGAAACGAGAATGTTTGCTTCAAGGAAGTGAGCAGAATCCTAGGAGGAGAAACAGGTTCCTGAACTTAGAATGTCCTTTCTCCAGGAGTAATTAAGGTTTTCTTTTTATGAGTTTTTACAGCACTAGTGGCTCATGGACAGTAGGCCTACAGGAAAGGGGGTATGAGAGAGGGGAAGAGACATGCGGGAAAGGACCACAGGCCAGATTCAAACCCAGGTTGCCCTCGTCAAGGACTGAGGCCTCTGTACATGGGTCGTGCGCGCTAACCACTGCACCACCTGAACGGCCAATTCAGGTGGTCTGAAGATGAGCGGAGGAAGTGGAGGGAGGGGTGGCGTTCAGTCTGACCAGGTACCCCGATGGAAGATCAGAGGCGTGGAGCTTGGAGTGAAGGGGAACCATAGAAATTCTCAGGAAAAGAATTACTGATGATGGGTAACACTCTATCGTTATAGTGCTGGCAGTGAGCTCCTTATAAGCTTCTCTGTTTATGAGCGTAGATGAGAAACACCTGCGCTCCTCTCCCAGACTGCAATATTTTCCTTCAGAAAACACCTGAAGGAAAATATTAAAAGGCAAATTGGTAGCCAGACTCCAGGATCCACATTTAAGAATCAGTCCAGTGCTGCTCTAAACACTGGCAAACCGGGACTGAAAAGTGAAGGGGAAGATTCTGCGGTTAGTTCAGGTTCAGTGGGAAATTTGTGTCTCTGATTTGAAAAAGGGATTAAAGGCAACAGGACTCACGTTTCCAGAAAAAACGTGTCTTGTGAACGTGAATCCAGTCGGTGTGGGTTGATTCAGTAATAGGCTTGCTCGTTGGAGGGTGGACAGGGTTTAACCAAGTCGAGGTGTTTCCTTGAGGAATGGAGGAGCTGACTGCCACTTAGATTTCCTGCGGTACTTGAACAGTTTCTTGTGGAGATGAATTCCCTGC